TTACATGCATTAAAAAGTACTAAGTTAAAAAAAAAGTTATGATATAATAAAAAATGTAAAGTTACACAATTTACAAAATACACATCCTGTAACAGTTCTTAGGATTTAGCAGCCAGGTATATATAGCACAGTTTTAACGGCATATATATAAATATATATATATATATATATATTGCACATATAGCACATTGCACATAGTTGGTTGGTATTTAACAGCAAGAGACAGATCACGTTTTGTTCTACGACATTAAATACATCAGCAGTGACCCCGCTGGTGATTTTTGAAGAGTTTACGTGTCTGAAAAACGATGGTTGTTAACATGTGGCTGAATAGGACTACAGAAGTTGTCCAGGCCGTTTTACGTCATTACACCGAACACGTAAAACACTCCCGCTAAGTTTGTTTGCCCTGTTCTGCTTGAAAGCAAGTACCTGCCTCCTGCAAACTGTTCAAACAAACGCTTCAACTTGTACCATTTAGAATCTGTATGTTTGAATATGGATCTTAAGTTGGCGTGACGTTGAGGCAGCGACCCTGCTGTAGTTCGTTTATAGCATAACGTTAGCATTTTGCTTCTGGCGACTAGATTTATGATTCGAAAATTATAAAAGTAGGGTAGACATGTGCATGGGCGTAATTTCCACTGGGGACAGGGGGGACATGTCCCCCCCACTTTTCAAAATCCCGTTTGTGTCCCCCCAACTTTTCAAATGTGTTTATTTTTTACGCAAGCGGTCCTCGTCACGGAGGAGCGTCTGTGTGTGTGTGTGTGAGATAGAAAGAGAGAGAGACAGAGAGAGAGAGAGACAGAGAGTTACGGGGTTGTTGTTAGCATTTGGTGCTAGCTCGGAGCTAACGGAGATTAGTAGCTGTTTCAACAATAAGGAGAGGGAGAGCTCTTTCCTGTCGGACTTTGAGAGACTGAGAGAGAGAGAGAAATAGAGAGAGAGAGAGACAGGGACAGAGAGAGAGAGAGTTACGTGGGTTGTTGTTAGCATCTGGTGCTAGCTCGGAGCTAACGGAGATTAGTAGCTGTTTCAACAATAAGGAGAGGGAGAGCTCTTTCCTGTCGGACTTTGAGAGACTGAGAGAGAGAAATAGAGAGCGAGACAGAGGGACAGAGAGAGAGACTGAGAGAGTTACGTGGGTTGTTGTTAGCATCTGGTGCTAGCTCGGAGCTAACGGAGATTAGAAGCTGTTTCAACAATAAGGAGAGGGAGAGCTCTTTCCTGTCGGACTTTGAGAGACTGAGAGAGAGAAATAGAGAGCGAGACAGAGGGACAGAGAGAGAGACTGAGAGAGTTACGTGGGTTGTTGTTAGCATCTGGTGCTAGCTCGGAGCTAACGGAGATTAGAAGCTGTTTCAACAGTAAGGAGAGGAGTAGAGGGAGAGCTCTCTCCTGGGGGACTGAGAGAGATCACGTCCGCTCAGTGAGGTAAAGGACTCTGAGGGATTAGGTTGTAAACTGTAGTCTAAGTTATCTCAGTGGGTCTCAAACGGTTTGGTCATCTATGTAAACAAATATTTCCATCTATGTAATATTAGTTGTATATAAAATAAGTTAAGAAATCCTTCCAATGTGTACTATAGGTCAGTACAAAAATAAAAAACACAGTTTGAAAGGGGAGTGATTAGTCAAATATGCATAAATAAAAAGAAAGAATGCAGACTAGGTAAAATAAAGATATAGAGAGGAGTTTATCAAATATGTGTTATTGCTTGTGAGCATATTATAATGTTTTTTTGATTATTGAAATATATACAGTTCTGTTTCATTTGATTGTTGAGAGCTGTATCCATAAATCTCTTAATGTTGCCCTCAAAGTGCACCAGATTGATGCATTCAACTTCAATTTAAAGACAAAAATCTTCCCGGGGGTGCATGCCCCCGGACCCCCCAACAGGAGGTAAGGTCATCTCAAATAAAACAGGTTCACATGGATAGGCTCTGGAACACTCTGCCCCTCCATGTGAGGTCGGCCCAGACCCTAGGGGTTTTTAAATCAAAACTAAAAACACACTTCTTCTCTCTGGCTTTCTAGTTAGAGCGGAGCACGACTCCTGACTTTTCCGTGTGTTTTATTTTTATTTTGTTTTTTAAGATATATCTGTTGTAATTTATTGTCGTTTATTGTGATTTGTAGTAATGTGTTTTTATTACATGTACAGCACTTTGGCTCGACCAAAAATCGCTTTTAAATGTGCTATATAAATAAAACCTGATTTGATTTGATTTGATACGTGTGCACACTCATTATATACACTACACATTTTTCTTGGATTTGTTAACACTATAGTCCCTAATATATTTGTAGAAAGGCAGGAAATGGAATTAAATTGAGAAAATGTTTCATTGCGGAGGACCCCCTGTTTTGTGTCCCCCCCACTTCTCAAACCAAAGTTACACCCTTGGACATGTGGATATTATCCGGCTGAACAAAACGTGATCCGTCTCTTAAATGTGTGTCAACCACAGACCTTATTTCGAGCTATTTTCCAAAATCCTATGGAGAAATTGCATTGCGTTTTTGACGAAGGAACCGGAAGTAGTTCACTTTCGGGTTTTAGGACGCGTCACTGCGGTTCTCTATTAGGCTACTAGCTTGCATTGTTATGGATCTAAAGTTAGCAAAAGCTAACTTTCATAACACAGCTTTTCTTTACTTCTCACTTAACTAACACAATAAAGAAACAGACCGTATAGTACAGCACAAACAACACAAATGATCAATACTTATATACAGGTGTGCACATAACTTTTTGAGTGAGTTACTCAGATGAGTACCAGGAGACAGCGTTTGGTACTCACCCCACATGAAGCGTGGTGTTAATAAGTGCAGTCTTCCTCACTGTCCTCCTCAGTGTCTCCTTCACTGTCCTCTATTTACACTTCTTGCATGCTAGATGATGAAGATGATGAAGATGCACCTCCCTGTCTCTTTGTAAGCCTCCAATTTGCTTTCTCCAAAACTTGTTGCCAAAACTGTGAAGTCCTTGCATTTCCTGAGGCCAAGTTGAAGGATCAAATACTAAGAAATTATCACATGACTTGAAGTCATATCTGATTTCAGAGGTGGGAAGTAACAAAGTACACTTATTCAAGTACTGTACTTAGGTACAATTTAAGATACTTGTAGTTTACTTGAGTATTTCTATTTTATGCTACTTTGTACTTCTACTCCACTACAGTTCAGAGGTAAATCATGTACTTTTCTTCCACTACATTTATTTAATACCTTTAGTTACTTTACAGATGTGGATGAATGATGTGAAAATATAATCAAGTGTTAAATCAGACTTTAGTTCCACCTGGAGTAAATCCACAAGCTACCCTGCAGTATACAAAGTCATTCAAACTAATTTTTAAACACTTTAATGATCAATAATTATAAAACATATCATATACATTATTATGAAATGGACCAATCTGCAAAATGACTACTTTTACTGTCGCTACTTTAACTAGATTTTGATGATAATACTTTTCTAATTTTACTTGAGTAACACTTCTTCCACCTCTGTCTGATTTCAAACTCTTCCATTAACAGCCTGAGTAAGTTTGCAGCTGTGTGTTTTACTCCACTTTGTTGTAAATAAAACTGCAGCAGCTTGACCACAGAGCGTGAACGTTGTGATCAGCTGATTTTGCGCAGTTCTCCAGTGTGTGCGCGGGGCACAGAATGTGCACAGGGGAGTCTCCCACCGCAGCCAGTTGACGTAGTTTTGGTACAATTCTGTTGTACACACCGACGTTAACAGCAGCTCCGTCTGTGCACACGGCGACCAACTCTGTCGTCCAGTGATCTAAGCCTCTGCCTCCTGTGAAGCTTCACAGGTCCGTCGGTTATGTCCTGCGCGGCACGGCCAGCACCCAGTTCAATCAGTCATAGAAAGTCTGAAGATTTTAGCAGGGAGCGAAACGGCAAAGTGGCTGCTTAATGTCTTTGTTTTTTTTGGACATGTCTAATAATTTACTCCACTGAGTATTGACAAGAAACATGTGTAGGCGAAATATGTGTTTTGTTTTGATGACCTATCAGGTACGCAAAGGCGCGTTGTGACACAAGTGACGTTACGCATTTCAGATTGTTGCCGCGCATGCGTACCTGCGTACCAGTTATGTGCACCCCTGCTTATATATATGTTCACTTGTAGTATTATAACAATTGAAATGCTGGTTCTTCTGGGGGTCTTCTGTCCACGCTCAGCTACCGCACCGCAGCTGCCTGCACTGTACAATCGCTGGAGGACTGGGCTGTAACTCAAAAACTGAGTAGCCAATGGGGACGCACCCCTGAAAGTCCCGCCCACCTGGGAGGTTTGTGTCAGAATCTCAAACAAAAAGTGAAGGAGCGCAAAAGAGAGTGCTGCAGCGAGAGCAAAAGTCTGATCATTTAGAAAGAAGAAACAAGAACTGCAAACAAAAACCTATGTTAAAACAAAGAAAAAATACTTATAGTTTACATGATTACACAAATTATTTGTTTGCAACTTATAGTTTTATTTTTGAAATTTATTTTATTTTGCTTGATCAGTTTTTTTTTCTTTTAAACTCATAGTTTTGCTTTATTCTGAGAAAGTGTTGCTTTATCTTTATGATACAAAACTAATCCCATAGACATTTATATAGGTGGCAACATTGGCATAAAGGTCTTACAACTTGCAAAAGACCTACCATGAATATACTGTATGTCTTATATTTGTTATTATTTAACTTCAAAATAACATTTAGTTTTAACCATAGATTGTATGTATTTACTGTACACACAGGCTTGCAGGCTCAACCTTAACTGTTGGTTAAAAAAAACCACAGTTTTTATAAAACCATCTTGCAGGTCAACACACTACTCGGTCAACATTGTGAACATGAATTATTGCATTTGACCACTCATGAATAAGTTCAAAACAGTTTTTCAGTTGGCCTCTAATTGTTCTACTGTTGATAGGCAGAAGTGTATTTTATTCTGAAAATCCTACCGGACTTCCCCTGTAGCGGAACACAGCACTGAACATATTAAAGTGTACCTGTGGGTTGTCGCGTTACAGTAGTCAGTCAGTAAACAGAGTGATAGCGATGAGGAATAATGAATAGGGATGAATAGGGATGAATGAAGGCAGATAAGATAACCTGAATGTCCGCGTACACAGCCACCGATGGGAGACAAGGACGCAGGACTATAAGGCGTTGGTACTGTATGCTACTATCGTTTCATTTTCCGTGACATTTTACTTCACATTTGGTTTGCATTCATAACTTTATTAGTTTAGCATGTGAAGGAATAGAGACATGTTTATAATACGCTAGCATACATGATAACGTTAAAGTCACTTAAGCTTTGACCCCAGCAACATTTAGATACACTGACTCGTGCTTCCTGGTATTGCTTCTACGCAATGAATATATGAACTGTATTGAACTTTATCTTAAAATACTATTGCCAGGTGTTTAAGTAACGTTAAGTCAGTAACCTAAAGTTCCCTTCCTCTATTTTAATGTTTTATTAGACTTGGCTCAACACCAGTGTCCAGGGAACTTGTGCCATAATGTGAAATGTCACGTCCTTTAGTTTTCCACTTCCTCGCCTGTCAGTTTGAACGTTATGTCACTGTCACCCAATGTTCTCAGCCTAATACAGTGTTCAGACGGCTGCTGGTATGGCGGTTTCATGCTCCAGTTTCATGATGCAGTCTACATTATGCTTCCACAATGCCAAATACACTGTTTAGATTATTTAATTAAACTAACTAAAGATTGAAATGTCTGGAAATTGAGGGGTCATTCCAGAATTGGTGGACATGTTCTGTCCCACCAATGACATTTCAAATAAACCGTGTCCAAAACGCTAAAACATGCACTTGTTGAGTTGAATTTATTTGTCCTTGGACAAAATGTATACAGTCCAAATATTATCAAAAAGCAATCAAACAGCATTTCCCCTTGTTTTGCGAAATAAGGACGTTGTTAAAAGGTTCCTATTTGAAAAAATTAAGAAAGAACCAAATCAGTTGAAATGTTTCAAATTTTGTAAATGTAAAGATCATCAATATTTGTTTTTGAGACATTGTTTTGGTCAATAAATTGCCATGAATGCCGACGCATCAAATATGATGAAATAAAAAAATAAAAAATTGTTTTTGTTATATGGTGCACACATTGATTTAAAAAAAGTTACAGTATTATTTGATGTGTCTATGGATGTCTAAAACTTATATCACATTATTGTCTTCATGTTATGAGTTTGACTCCAAAGCGACCCAAATACGCTTTTCAATACTGTAAACATGTGGGAGCCATTTTTGGACAGGTATCTTGCCCAAGGACACTCTGATTGGTAGATCAGCGCATTAACCCTCAAGGGATATTTATGTCTGAACATGATTTTAACTTATTTCACTCCATTGTCAATGTAACGGATGATTTCTAAACAAACAAATATATAACATACAGAACAGATGTGCTTATTTACTCTAAATAGTAATTAACATAAGGTTTGGAGCAGCAGATTGCCCAATAATTGAGACAGAGCTAGCTCAAATAGTGGCCGCTGGCAGTTTAGCTTCTTGTGGCAGGTGCCACGCTGCTGCTGCTGGGCAATGACTTTGTTGCTATGACAAACAAACATAATTTAAGAGAAAATTGAAGCATTTCCCTTTTTAGATGGTGTTTCTGAGAGATTAAGTCATGTGGATGTGAAGGATCTAGCTTTCTACATTTTCAATTATAAGAGGTGAAGACAAGCTACGGCTCGTTCTGTCAACAGACAAAGCACTGTTTAAAAAATGATTCCAAAAACTCAAGATTACCTGATTGAAAATGACAAATGTCTACATTTGTGTGTTCCCTGTTTTTCACAGAGTGCTCCTTGACTCAAAGAGGCAGCAGAACAGAAGGATGAGCTCAGTGCAGAGGTAAGTGACCAACTGTTTTTCATAGTTGTGAGGTCACATCCCTTTAGAGGGGTGCAGGAATGAGTATGGCTCTATCAGTTGGAAGTCAATGGTTTTCTGAATGTGTTTTTGGTTAGATGCATGAAATGAGATCTGTGGTTAACACAAGCGTACAAAATGTTCATGTTTGTTCTCAGATATAACAGATGTCAGTAAATACCCCACTTCTGAATGTCCTTAGCACATGTCCCTATGTGTCACAAAAACAAGTGCAAACAAGTCCACCTTCAGCTTAGCATTGGAGATGCACAGTCATGCTAAAGTTTGTTTATAGCCTAATGTTAGCTTCTTACTGTTGGCAACTGCATTTACGCATCAAAAATCATGAAAGTGGTGTTTCTCTCAATATTCAGAAATTCAATAGAAATATCCCATTGCTTCTTGTCAAGGGGGGGGGGGGGGGGGGGGGGGGGCCTTGCGATGCTTACTTCCTGGTGAGCCTACAAAAATATGTCATCACTGCACCACCTACGCCCATCTAGAAGGCAAACCAAAGCTGCTTTCCACTGCCTGCTAACCACATCTAAGCTGTTAGCCAAAATGCCAGATATTTATTTATAGAGATATTTATTTATGCAGATAGTATGCACAAACCAAAGAGGAGACAAGCCTGGCTTTGTTTCTACAAAATCCTGCCTCAAGAAAGAAAACCCAGAGTGAAAGAGATTGTGGATTTGTGCCATTACACATGCCAAAAAAACTCATCTAAACCTGTTGTACAAGTTAGAACGCATCAATCCCCGCTTATCCACATCAACCCTGGCTGTCAATGGTTGGGCTCTAATTGACATTAAAAAAATAAAAAAGTTTAGGCTATGTTACATTTATGTTACAACTTTGTAAGTGTGACATATGATCACACTTCCCAGAAATCTGAACGGTGTTACCTTTCCTAGGAAAGTTGCAAAAGACATACAGTTCATAGTACTGCAAGTGCAAGGACTTTAAACAGTCCATAGGGCAATAACAGTCGTGTTACTTCTTGTGGTGATATGGTGATTGAGCAGAATGGTATTTCAATTGCCAATCTTGGAGATTATTACTTAATACTTATTTTTTAATGAGACCTAGCATTCTAGACAAAGAAATTCCTTTAATACTTGTTCTTACCATGCAATTAACATGTTCGTGTGTGTGTGAAAGCAAGGGTGAGCCTTAGTAGAATTACAGGGTGTAATGTGCGTGCCTGTTTAAAATGGCAGTGCCTTGGGGGAATGTGTGTCTGCCTGCTGCAACCTGTTGACTGTGAGATTAAAATGACCTTTACAGCTTGTGTCTGTAGATTTGAATCTTAAAGATTGTAAACAATGCTAACTGAACCAACCTGTGTGATGTGCTGTGATTCGCAGACAGCTGAGTCAGCTGCTGGGAGCATGGAGGTGGAAGAGGAGGGCGGAGTATTCTCTCTACTCCGCCACTGGAATTCACTGCAGGAGCTTCTGCTCCCCCCCTTCAGGACCAGGTGCTCAACTCGGTTTGAAGCCTCTTTGCTTATTGACAAAAAAGTCAAATTGAACCATGTTGTTGATTTTGACAGAATTAAGCCTTTTTTCAGGAACAAGGTGATTTTTTTTAAATGACAGATTTCTATAATGACAGATTATTTTCTAAAAGTTGGTGATTTTTTTCAACAGATTGATGATTCTTTAACATTTAAATCATTTTTCTTTGTTCAAAAATGTAATAATTTTGAAAATTGGGTTAATTCACAAAAAAGGATGATCTTACAGAAAGTAGGTGATTTCTCAAAAATGTTGTCATCTAAAAAAAGTTATTTCTAACAATTAAATTATCTTTGAAAACTGTTGGATTTTTCAAAAATGACATTATGCAAAGAAATAAAATGTTGTGTTTTTTAAAGATTTGCCATTTTTGAAGGATTAGGTGATTTATTTATTTATTTTTGACAAATCAACAAAAAAAACATTGCTTTCTGACATAAAACTAAAACAGTAAAAAACAAACAAGGTTTATTCATAGTGTAAATACAGGATGTTGATTTTTAACAGATTTTGTTTCTGAACAACTTCATGATTGGAGTTTAGCATTCAGTGGAAGGTTTCAGGACAGTGCTAACGCTGAATATGTTGTGTGAATGTAGTGGTTATGTAAGTATTATTATTAGCAGCAGCAGCAGGTTGCTCTTAAAGGGGCACTACAGCACTTTAGTACTCCATTTCCATAGAGTAGTGAAGCAGAGACAGATACAATATTATTAATGTTCATAATCTATGCAGCAGAAGCAGAGATGGTTTCAGTTCCAGTCAGGGCTCAGGCTCCAAACACTCAGGATCTTTCCCATGATCCTTCTCTCGTTAGACCCTCCCTCCCTGCCAACATTATTCAAGCTGCCATCTTCAAACTTAGGCTTCACTTTCTTCTAAACTACACACCTGAAAGGTTTCCTGACTGACACACTGTTATGAATAATGTTATATACCTAAAAAATACAAGTTTAGTTCAGTTAATCAACTCGCATGACCAAATGTTTCCATTATCAACAGCAGAGTTATAGCTGACCTTGGTGATATGTGTACAGGTGTGTGTGGTTATTGTGTAGCAGCGAGATGGGACCCAAAATACCACACAGACAGCTGGTTTCTAGGTCAGGAACATGCCAATGGTCCAAACGCTGTTCTCATTGCTCGTTGCCCCACATTAAAATAGTGCCGAGACCACAGTGTAAAAAGAACTTCAGCTTTCATGACCAATACTCCTCTGGGTACAGTTGTAGTTGTAGCTACATTATCTGTAGTCTTAATGGAGTGGCGCAGTGATGACATATTTTTGTAGGCCCACCCAAAAGTTAGCATCACATTACATTACATTTCATTTAGCTGACGCTTTTATCCAAAGCGACTTACAATAAGTGCATTCGACCAAGAAGATACAAACTTGAAGAAAACAGAATCATATAAGTACATCAGGTTTCATAGAGCCAAAACATTTCAAGTGCTACTCAACAGGCTTTAGATAAGCCAGTTCTTTGTTAGTATATAAGTGCTTTGTTAGTAATTCTATCGCTCGAAGTGCTCCCTCGACAAAAATCAATATGATTTCTCTATTGGATTTTGGAAAATGTCTGAAAATAAGCTCTGTGGCAAAATCTAATTTATGATACTTGCACATTTGTTCAGCAGGATAGACTCCACATATTATCACCACTTAGAAGCGTAAATGCAATAGGCATTGCATAATGCTAGCTCAAGGCCGCATAGCTTCACCTCACCTTGTAGTAGCGTCGGTTGAACCAGTGGTAAGTCAAGTCTGTGTTTTAAGTTATTCCAATAGCCTTTTATAATAGTTGCTTATGTTTACCCATAGATCTTTTAAAACATTATCCTAGTTTACAAGTGTTTTTCTAGTGTCTGCTAACATGCACAGGTTTTGAAGTACAGATTGGTTGATTGTCATCCATTATAAAGTGGGCTTTTTACATTTGAACAGGTGTTCACTGAGTGTTAAGTCCTTACACGCAGTTGATTGCTTGCACAGCTCCAAAAAGACTTGATGCAAAGGAAAAGTTGCGAGAACACTGAAACATTTATGCAAGATTATGTAATGAATCCTAAACAGAACTACAAATAACATCATTACACTATTTCACCTCTTTTAGAAAAAATGTACATGTCAAAAGCAGCTCTCGGGGTATTTTGTGAAATCTGAAAATATTACCCTTATGTCAAAGGGAAGTTGGGAAAACTTTAACTCAAAGTGTGAAGCTCACTTTTTACTCTCTTACAGAAGAAGCCATAGAGATCCACAAGAAGAAGCTCTTCCTGTGGTTCAGCCACCTTCCTCAGGAGGAGAAACAGTTTGGAGGCTACTTCAGCCCGGAGACCATGCATGTGGACCCGCTGATCCTGGAAAGAAATGCAGAGGAGAAGGCAGGACTGCTCACTTCCCCTCTCCAAACCCAGACCCCCTCCAGCGGCCATGTGACCGTAGAGCAGCTGTTTGAAACCACCGATGCCTGGAGTGAGGGCCGGGGCCTCAACGTGCTGCTGTACGGGGCCGTGGGAACCGGGAAAAGTACCGTGGTGCGAAAGCTGGTGCTGGATTGGTGCGCTGGTACCACCCTGACTCACTTCAAGCTGCTGGTTCCTTTCTCTTGTGAGGACCTGGGCCAACTGTCAAAGTAAGACAGATATATATAATAATGAAGACATGCCTACGGGAGCACTTCAGAAAACATAGATGGGAAATAAAAATGCATATTGACAAAATAACTAAAAATAATGTTGACATGAGTTTGCTGTAGCTGGTTGTAAGATTAGATTTCAAAGCTATTTTGTTTAGAATTTCATCTAGAATATGAAAATGGACACGGTGGCCCAGATTTAGTTTACGTCGATGGATATGTTAGTTATAAATTGCACAAAGTGAATTATCCCCTCCATCACAGGGCGGTCTCCTTGAGGGACCTTGTGGGCAGGAAGTACCTCCACCTAAAAAAACACCCCCTGCTGAGCGGGGAGGGAAACCAGGCCAGGGATGTACTCTTCCTCTTCAATGGGATGGAGAAGATGAAACTGGACTTCCGGATTGGAGCCACGGAGCTTTGCAGTGACCCCAATGAGGTGCTGCCTCCAGGTGTAGTGGTGGTCAACCTGCTGAGGAAGTACCTCCTGCCTGAGGTGAGGGACAATCACTGTAATGTTATTCATTCATCTGTTCTGTTTCTCTGTAATCAGCACTTCCTGCAGAAGTTTCACAATAAAAGCCTTGAGTAAAGGGCAGGATCATTTCCTTTAAAGCAGTTGGAAGGCTTAAATAAGGGCTAAATAAAGATTGTCTGTACTTTTATGTGTTACTTGGTCATATTCATACTGTATTTATTCTGTTTTAAATTAAAGAGCTGGAGCTGTGAAATATGTGAGCTCCAGCAATTAATATAAATATATTATTTAGGACAGCACTGAACTGAATTTTTTTTTATCAATTTCGCTGGTGTTAGATTTTGATATGGCATTTTATCTACAGAGAAATGCTGTGTTCTTGTACCAAGCTCAATCAATGAAAATACCCAAGGCCGAACAAGCCAAACAGTTTGCAAAAGTATACTAGGTACTCTTTAAATCTGTGTTTACTTCTTAAGTGTATTCATTTCAATATGTGTTGTTGTTGGTTTTATAAGTTGGCTGTTGTATGTTCCCAGGCCAGCGTCTTGGTTACCACCAGACTGTCTGCTCTGGACCGTATCCCTCAGAAGTATGTGACTCGCTATGCCCAGATTTGTGGCTTTAATGATCCGGACCGCCAGCGAGCTTACTTCACCAGCCGCCTGATGCAGCAGACTGGAGAAACTACACATAACAATGAGGCCCATGGTCTGGTAGAGCTACTCTACCTCAACCTTCAGAGAGAGAGCCAGCTGGCTGCAGCCTGCTTCCTCCCGTCCTACTGCTGGCTCACATGTGCCACCTTACACTTCCTCCATTTCACAGACGCCAAGGCACCCATCCGCACACTGACCGGCATCTACACCAGTTTCCTCAGACTCAACTTTGGAGGGGAGGTGCTTGGCACAGGGACAGGGACAAATGTGGCCAATCAGGGGCAGCACAATTCTCTGATGTTGTATGTAGTCCGTACAGTCGGGAAACTTGCGTTTGACGGCGTGACGAACAAACGCACGTCATTCTCAGAAGAGGAACTGGAGCAGTGGATAGGAGGGAAGACCAAGACGGATGAGGAGCTCCGTCAGCTGGCCATGTTCCGGACTGATGTGCTCGACTTCTTCTTGGCTCCCTGTGTAGAAAGCTTCAAGCATTTACCAGAAGACCCCAGTAAGGTTGATCAGAGGCGGTATGTTTTTGCTGTCCCGGCCATGCAGGAGTACCTGGCAGCTCTCTACGTCGTTCTAGGAGAGAACAAATCTGCTCTGGAGAAGATGACCAAGCAGGTGTCTGTGGCCATTGGTCAAGCCAGTGAGGACGTCAGTGCCATCTTTAACATCCTCTCTAAGTTCATTCCCCTCCGGATATTCGCTGTTTTCAACCTCCTTAAGCTTTTTCCAAAGCTCTACGAGAAGATCAGCATTAAAAACCAAGGCCGCATCGCCAGAACCATGACTGCCGAGATGTTCCGCACCGAGGATCGCTACAACGAGGACGTACTGGATCAGGTGGAGCAAAGCCTCCTGGGAGTCCATGGCCCAGAGCCCCAGCAGATCAGTGAGGCCCAGCCTTTTGAGCTCTACCCTATCTTCATGGGGGGGCTGTTGCATTACGGTAACCGTGTCCTTCTCCAGCAACTCGGCTGCAGCATTCAGAGCACCACTGTGGCCCAGATCACTCATGCCCTCAGGAAGTACCTTGTCAAAGGTAACAGATATGTTCTTTTCAGTCTTGTTACACAGTGTGCTTTGTCTTTTGACTTGAGCGATTGTTTGTTAAGTACTGTAAGTCTATTAAGGTTAACTTGACACATCATAATTCCCCTGAAAGATCCCCTCCGCTCAAACGTTTTCTCTTATTTAATACTAGAGCTGAGCCAGCCTCAGCCCCCAGAAGAGCTGATGGATCTGCTGCTCCTCCTCTATGAGTTCCAGAACCCCAGACTGACCGCAGAGGTTTTGGCCTCGATCAGAAGCATCCGCCTCACCAACGTCCGTATGACCTCACTCAAGTGCTTTGTCCTGAGCTCTGTGCTGTCGTGCACTCCTGCCAGGTAAAGCGCTTCCTTTGAAACCTGTTCAGTGTTTAGGGTTTAGTACTTTATTTTTTTCCTGGCTTTGTAAGATATTATTATTTCTACTTGTTTAATACCAAGTGGATCCAAAAGAGTATACTTGGAGTTGCTGCTACAACTATTGGGCTTCGTGAAATTACAGCCTTGGCCATACCTACTGCTGGGAAATCGTATTCGCACCCAACAATTAAATAAATAAATAAACAATCAAGAAACTACAACAAAAGAGCAATTTAATTTTGGGAGAACTTCATCTTACTGAAATGTTTAAACCAGAAGATAGTAGAGTCTTACGGTTTGCTTAAGTTCTCTCACGGCATTACTGTAAAAACAACTAGTGGTGTCAATTGATCTAAAAAATGACCCATGAAATGCAATCAGAGAAAGAGAAATCTGAAGATTCCTTACTTTATCATAACGTGATTTCTGAATTATTGGCATGAAGACGGATCCTTTTCTGTCACTTAGCTAAAGCATCAACGAACCCACTGTCACAGAGAGCCGCTGTGGTTACCCTCTGTGCGATACACAGAGTTTATTTTCTGGTATTTTCAGTGCAGCTATCATATTGGCGCTAACATTGATAGCCCTAGTAAAATCATATGTTATGATACAGAAATAAAGCTCTGTTCTCCGTTGTATTTTTTTGCTGTGGCTAGATTACACAAGTATTGAAGTATTTTCCATAGGCAGCGATGTTCAGCGCAAAGATTTCAGTTTAAAAAAGTTTCTGAAGACATTATAGCTATAGTATAGTTTGTTAGTTTATATCTACTGCATATGAAATGCATATCATTAGTATGTTTAGTATTGTCATTTTACAAAACATGTTGTGGTGTCTTCCTGCAGTTATCGCCTTGAAGAGCTGGACCTGTCCTCCTGCCTGCTGACTCAGCACATGCTTCCGATGCTGTGGCCTGCCTTCAGACACACATTCAAACTCAAGTGAGGAACACTCTTCTTTGTGGTTTGCAGTGAATAACAGAGGGGCCCTTGGTTTGTTTGCATCTTGCTAAAGGTTGTACTGTACATGTAATATTACTAAGAATTGACCAGTGTTTGTTAAACCATAGCAATGTTAATACATCAGACTGATCAGAATTCAGTAGAACTACTTTATCTGTCCTAATCAGTTACAGTGTGTTTTGTTTTATTTGTAGTTGATTGTAAATCAAAGAGGTATGTCTGAGTGATGTTTTCAATCAGAGGAAAATGAGTGTAAGTCTCTGAACTCTCACATATCTTTGGCATCTTGTCTACTAACATGTATCTTTGTTTATTGGTTAGCATCTTATCGGCTTGATTTGATTAATAGCTGTTTTGTTTTGTTGATTCATAGTTTGGTCTCTAAAATGTCAGAAAATAAGGAAAGAAAGTAAGAACATTATTTTCTGAATTTTTTGCATAAAAAATTGCTTTTTTTCTAAATATATATTCTTTCTTTATTAAATAGTTTTTTTTCTTGATTGACTCATCAATTAGTCTACTTCTCTACAGTAACCAAATAGAGAGTCAACGTGTGGCATCCCTGTGGTAAAACATGGTTAAACCAGTTCAAACAGGTTAATGATGTGGCATTAAGCCAAAGAGGTTCTTGTGCTTTTAGTCCACCCTTATTGATATAAATGGGTCATAAGATGTGTTCTAAAGGCATTTTTACTAATGACTCATGCTCGTCTAGCATGTGAATGCTGTGTGTGATTGTTGTGTCTGCCTGTCTCTGTTGTCCTCAGTTTGCAGTTTAACAGCCTGGGTCCTGAGTCCTGCATCCTCCTCAGGGATCTGCTTCTAGACCCCGAGAGCTGTATTAGATCTCTACAGTAAGAACACGTTTACTCATGTCTTTAAGGGTTCTGTACAAAGGAATCCTCTCTTTACTGTGCTGTTGTCTTTCGTTTGGAATATACAAAATTCAATGAGTTACTCAAAGTGACCTGATCAACAGCACTGCAGATCAGGTCCAAACATTACAAAGTAATTCATCAAACGCAGTTAGCTGCTGGATGAACAGCAAGCAGGTGGTTATTGTGAACCAACACACCTTCAACGTCATGAGTAAACACCACGTTTTACCATGCCAATTATTATTATTAGTAGTATTAGTATTATTACTACCAATTATATAGTGAGACCATTTGTTCTGTACCAGCACAGCCTCCTAAATAATCATTATCTCAAATGGTTTACCCATAAGAAAGGGTCCATTAGTCCATTTGGCTTTTTTCAGAAAATGTGCTTGATGTTAAAGGCAGTCACAGGCCATGGTCAAATATTCAAAGAAATCAGTTCCTGTCTTCTCCCACACACTGAACTTCGGTGAAAAAACGTAAGAACAGATGTGAAGGGGAATACATCAGGACCTTGGGAAAGACAACCGGACTAAAATGTTCCGTAAATTGACGGAAGCATCTAGATACTTTGCCTCGTCAGTTTCATGCAGGCAACATTTATTTTAAAAACAAATAATAAATAAAGGAAGTGAAAGGAATTGGTGCTCACCCTCACCCCCCCTGGCCACTTGTATTAATCAATATGAACCCCAGTTAGTATGATTGTATGAAACTATTTGATTTAAACTATAACTTTTTGCAATATATGCATTATTGAATAGCCCATCAATGTCTGACTATTCTAACGTGTTCTTCAGACTGTGTGACAACACTCTGCTGGAGTCTGGAGCCAGCACTCTGCTGGAGGCCTTCCCAGAGAACCAGTCCCTGACGCACCTGTCCCTGATGCACACCGGGCTGGGGGACCGGGGGGCCCAAGAGCTGGCTGAGAGGCTCCAGCAGCACAAGGGCCTCCAGGAACTCAACGTGGCCTACAACAACATCGGAGACAGGGCTGCCATGACTCTGGTGGACGCCTGCAGGGAGCACCCCAGCATCCACACTGTGCAGTGAGCAGCTCTGCAACACAGTGTAGTGAAGAGTGTCACTATATTCTCTTCAGGTTTCTGTGTTGATGTAGTGTGTTGTGTGTTGTGCAGCTTGTACCTGAACCCTCTCACTGACGTGGGGAAGCAGTCGCTGTATGTCCGAGGAGATCCCAAGAGCCACACCGGCCGGAGGGTGAAGGTCCTGGCTTCAGTCACCGAGGGCTCAGACCTCTGCGAGGACTGGCACCCCATCCTAAGCGTGATCCAGAAGAACATCTCCTCCTGGGACCGCCAACGAGTCAAGGAGCAGCTGAAGGTACACACAACTACGTAATGAAGTCGGAGAGAAACCTCAGGGATAAGAAAAACCCAACAGTTCATCTCAGTTAAATATCCATAAACTATGACTATAGCATTTAGAAAACATTTGCATAATCATTAACTAAAAAGGTAAAAAGTATGAGAGGTTAAGAATACAAATGAATTTCACCACTGAAAATGAAAGATGTTGCTGTTACTGATATGTGATTAATAACTATTGACGACTGATTCCACAAACATTATTGACGTTTCGTGCAACTGATGTATGTCTTGGAAAAATACTATGTGAACCATCGGCTTAACAAGACAAAGGATCATCAGTGTTAAATAGTGTTTTATTTGTCATATAGTTTACAGATTTGTATCTTCACGGTCAACTTTTATATTTTCACTCTTTTAGTTCTGTTTTTATCTTCTATCTTCTATTTTGAGATGTTTATATTGTATAATTGTTTATTTTCTACTCTCTTTTATTTCTAATTATGTGCAATACAATGTATTATAATGCTGCTGCCACGAAACGTTATCTTATCTTATTTTAGCTGGTGAATGTGTTTTTGTGAAAAAGCGCCCTCTTATGGTGAAACCCCGAATGTTCATGTTCATCATGGAGAATAGACGCTGAGTATCTTAACCCATAGAGCAGCGGTTCCCAACCTTTTTCAACTCAGGGCCCACTTAAGAATCCAAACAATGTTTGCGGCCCACATTCAACCATAAACAATACGGAGTCTAAATAAAGTTCTGATTGGTCAATTCAGAACATGTGACATGTTGTTAATCCAGTGGAACAGACCACTGTCAAGGACTGTAATGACCGTTGCTAAGGAGGATTGAGAAAGAGAAAGGAAAAGAGGTTAACATAAAAAAAGAATCTTAATAATGAAAATGTTTCCACACAAATCATAATGTTTGCAAATTATTTGGCGGCAAATATTGAATTTACATTTACACCCTTTAATATTTAATTTGGGCTTTTAGATGAAGACCGCACGCAGTTAATAAATACAACTATTCTTCTGGCTAAAATACATATTTTTAAAAGTCAATCAAGGAGTAATCTTAAAAGATTAAAAAATACAATTTATTTTGGAAAACATTATTGCCACAAAAAATCAAAGGGCGGCTCAACACGCCATGACATGGGAAATAATGAGCTCTAACGAAGAGTGGGATTAAAGGAACAATAAATATGCTTGCCATGTTGTGTTTGAGGTGGTATCTGGTTGACAACCTATTTTTGTTAGTGAAATGTTGAAGTGATCCTACTGACTGTATCTTTATTTCTTCTGTTTTTTGTCTGAGATGGGATTGTCATCTCCTATAAATTATTGTTATGTCCATGTTTGGGTCTTAAGCCTTTAGAAAAAAAAAAATGAAAAAAAAAAGATTATTATTTGGCGGCATTAAGCGCATTTCACAACATTTGGGACCTCATGATTTAAATAAGGGCTATTGTGTTTGTACTGGGAAGTTGTTTTACCTTTACCTTTAAAAAAATGAACCGCTGATTTGAAGACGTCGTCAGTCAATAGAAGAATGTAGTAGTGCTGTCTGGGCATGAATATTTGCTTCAATGCCCGTCCTCCTTTCGGGCAGACTACCAGAGTCTGGGATTTGGAGGCATTGGGGTGTCAGTTGGCTGGCCTTCAATTTGGAGGAGAAAACATAAGTGGGGGCGTCTTTATAGCATTAAGAAAGTATTTCCTTAATCATTAACTACTAAGGAAGAAAGTTTGAGAGGGTAAGCATACAAATACATTCCTCCATGAAGTCCATTGTGATGCATGACAGTAACTCCGCCCCTCCCCCTGCAGGTGTTCCTCAGGGACCTGGAGTGGGGCCGTCAGCAGCAGCAGAGCTTCTGGAAGAGGCTGCACTTCCGCAGGGTGGAGAAGGGTGTCCGGCAGACTCTACGGATGCTGGAGAAGGACACTATACCTCCATCCTCAGGAAAAAGCTCCACCAGGAGGTGAAACGGGCTACATCTTCATAACTGTAAAGAGCTGACTGCATTCAACAGTTTACCAAGCATCTCAAAGAGACTTTGTTTTATCACTTTGTCAGAGATGTTTTAATCCTAACAGAGAATGCAGTCAGGACACTCACAGCGAGCTTTTTGCCAATAATTGCAGCAAAATGCATTTTGGCGGTGTAATACTGCTTTTGTAATGCTATGGAACAAAAATGAGCAGCGTGACACTGACTATTCAGGTACATTTAATGAACACGAACACATATGATAGACTTTCTGATGTACATACAACTACATGATAACACAAGAGGAGGCTGGGGAGGCAGATGGAGTTACATTTATTTGGTTTTTAAAGGTCCCCTATTATACTTTTGCGTAATAGGTGACCTTTTTAAAGAATTTCAACAGGTATCATCTGATATGTTTTCCTCTCAAACTGAAGCAGATTGTTTGTGAAATGCTAATATGCTGAGTATAAGTTACAAGTCAGTCTTTATGGGTAAAATAACAAGGCTGCTGCAGTGATTTTGTAATCAGGTCCATTACGATGGGAGACTGACGAGTGATTTCATCTTGGTGTCTCCCTAATATGTTCCTGAATCGGAGTCACATGCAGCCACATCTGTGCAAAGCATTATATAACTTTTAAAATATATTTATTGAGCTAACAAAGTGTACCTTCATGTTTTCCCTTAGACTCATTCAGTTCAAAAGAAAACAAATATTTACTGCACTGTGTCGGCATTCAAGAGGAAGTGTGTTTATTGCTCTTCTCTGCTGCCAACAGATTCTCTGATATGACCAGCTGCCTTATTTCACCACCAACAGCTGTATTTGGTTTTATCTTGTAAATGTGTTTGTTCTATACATATATGTTGAACATCTAAGTAGGCTACTGGCATTAAATGTCAAGTTGTATTAAAGTTATTTTATGATTAGAGTTCCTGCTAGAACCTAAAATATATTAAGTATTAAATATGATATTGTAATTTTAGTCAAAGTTTTTGCAGATCTACTTGTGTTTGAGTTTGTTTGCTTTGTTTAATGGGCAATAGGGTTTTGTAAAAACCCATGTTCAACTACCTAATGAAAAAAAGGGTCAGTACCCAAACTGGTTTCAAAAGCGCATGATACTCCTATCCCTTTCCTATGTGTTTGTTGTGCAACATGTAAACTGGGTCAATGGTAGGGCTGAACCAAATCACTTCAAGCTTTTTTCTTGAAGTTCCTTTTTTCTTTTCTTATTTTCTTTTTGTTTGAACCTGCCTGTAACCCCCCAAGTTAAAAAGGTTATGGAGGAATGCTGCCTTATTTTGACTTGATTTCATATCCGATTTTCTATCCTCAGATCAACATGACGTGGTGCATGTTCAGTGCTGTAATATTACTGCTGGAATGTCATTGAAACATGCTGCATTAAATGGTATAATGTAAACCGTGTTGTCTAAGTTATTTCTGTTGAATTATGTATTAGATCAAACATAAACATGTTCTTGTTTACTTGGATAGTTACCTCTTTGTTATGCTAAGCGTAATGACAGCTTCCTTATGTTTGAATTTAGTTGTGTTTATCGAGTAACGTTAACAATTCAAGTGACCAGCTGTTTTAAATGGAAATGTTTAAATAGAAAGCAATATTGGGTTTTTTAAAGATATCTTTATTACGTACCAATGGGCTTTGACCTAAGAGCCACGAGAAGGAAAGGACACTGTTGGGTCTACAGACATTTCTTCCACCATATTGTGTCGGCTCCTCTCTGCCAGTCGGTAAATGTTTAACCTATATGACTGTGGCTAAAGGATTCACCATCTCATCGGCTGAAGGCGTCTTTTATTGTGTGTGTGTGCTGTGAACCTTGTCTGTCCAGTGTCACAGTCTGCGCAGGAACACACACTCAGGACTCCATGAGGACCTTTACAGGTAGGCTCTGTCTCTGCTCCACTCTCCATTATTTGACTATACAAATGTGAAGTCCTGTTCACTTGAGAGAAGTCATCATGGCTGTATTGGTAAGTCACTCTTACCTGTGTCTGGCTTGCTTTTTTTATTATGGTGAAAAGCAGTGGTGTAAGAAGTACTCGGGTCTTGTATTTAGGTAAAAGTCGCAATACTACATTTTAAAAGTATTTTGTTACAAGTAAGGTCCTGCATTCAATATCTTACTTAAGTAAAAGTACAATAGTATAAGCATCGGAATATTAAAGTACCAAAAGTAAAAGTACTCCTTATGCGTAATGGCCCATTTTAGAATCACATATAAATTGAGCTACAGGGTTACTATTAATATTATTTATACGTTTTTATCACAACTGGTAAAGGTGGAGCTAATTTGAATATTTGTTTACTGCTGCTGGATATCTTAACCTAAACATGTATGTCAAAGTTTATTTAATAATTGATTTAGACTTTGTGTTAGCTAATAATCTAAACCTAAAAAGTAACTAGTAACAAAAGCTGACAAATAAATTAAGTGTAGTAAAAAGTATGATATTGGCTTCTAAAATGTAGTGGAGTAGAAGTAAAAAGTAGCATAAACTGAGAATACTCAGGAAAAGTAGAAGAATCTCAAAATAGAACTTAAGTACAGTAAGCAGGGTTTGGCCTGTTGACTCTAGGGGTTTTTTTTCTGGTTAAAGTGTTTTTTTGGACAGGATCAATATATAACAGATTAACATTCAGTAGAAACCAATGGGCTTGGAGCTGAGGAAAAGAGACACATTGTTGGTTTGGGTCGTCACATGAGACATACTGACAGCTCTCACTACAAATGATTATTTAACATGGCTTTTCTTGAGCATTTCTGTGTAGGTTTCTTTGTCACTACTTGTCTACCTTACTACATTCAGAGGGAAATATATTAATTTCAACACAGTATCTTGCTTGGAATATTTTGTATTATATATATATTTCCCATTGTGAGAAACAGACTTTCATTGTCTTTGGCTCGTCTTTAAAAAAAAAAATTATTTAAAGGTCCCCTATTATAAAAAAAAAAATTAACAAGACAAACATATCGCTGATGACGATGACCTCATATTTTATTTATAAGGGAAATGTATGCTAGAGGGGGTAGGACCAGAAAAGTTTTTTTTAAGCTTCTTCTTGCCCCTGTTGAACATGACAGAGACTATTTGAGAATTATTGTTATTTTTTTTTTGTTTTCTTTTGTATTATTATTTTTTTTTGTACTTTGTTATAATTATTATGAGTTAGAAGAAAGAAAATGATATATATATATATATATTATTATTATTGTTGTATGTTTTGTTTCTGGCATGTTCAATAAATTGACTAAAAAAAATAAATTAAAAAATAATAATTATACTGTTTTTCATCAATATATTATAGGTCTCAGATATACAAACATGTCTCTGAAGTGTTTGGCTCAAAATACCAAACAGATCATGCATTGTAGCATCCCATAATCCCCTCTGTTTCAGCCCTGTTTCAAAAGTGCTGATTCTGTGTCTGTTACTTTAGATGAAAATAAGGAGCCACTCCCCACGCTAAATCCCTGAAGCTTTTTGTTAGCCATGGAAAAAGTCATGCTTCCAATTCATGAAGATAATGAAACCAATACGTAACTAATTTCTTTTGAACTCTGAATGACTAATATAATATATTATTAATAAATAGGCAATATGTTTTTTGTAGAAATCCGAAATAGATTTAGAATTACTGCTTCTAGGCAGGCCACTAAATGAACACCTTCTGTACTAAAAAAAGCTATTTTCATGTCATAAAATTAGCATGTTACTGTTTTGCAAATTTATTTATTTTGTATTGTTCTTAGCCGTCATTTGTTAAGTTAATATGAATAACTTTGTTATTAAATCAGTTAACGTTACATTTAAGGAGGTAAGCGTAGTGCTAAAAATGTTTGCTTACCTTTTCTGTTTAGCTTACATCAATGCTTTTAGCTGTAAGTATTAACTTCAGCTGGTTGGTTACTAGGTAACTAAGGCAAGGCAAGGCAAGGCAAGTTTATTTATATAGCACCTTTCAACACAAGGCAATTCAAAGTGCTTTACAAAAAAATGAAAGACATTAAGAAAATGGCATTTAAAATCAGTCATTAAAAAGAAAAGATAATAAAATAAACATTAAAAGAAAAAATACATGGATAAAAGTTACAGTGCAGTTTAAGATGTGAATAGTTCAATTAAAAGCGGCGACAAAAAGAAAAGTCTTCAGCCTGGATTTAAAAGTAGTAAGAGTTGCAGCGGACCTGCAGGTTTCTGGGAGTTTGTTAATAATAATAATAATAATAATAATAAATGGAATTTATAAAGCGCCTTTCACGGGACCCAAGGTCGCTGTACATGGTGGACAGACAAAACAAAACAGACAATGAGGAACGAACAAAACAAGACAAAATAAAATAAAATAAAGGAAGCCGGGGGACCAGGAAAGGACTAGGGTCCGAAGGCCACGGTGAACAGGTGTGTTTTTAGTGAGGATTTGAAGATGTCCAGTGAGGCAGCGTTCCGGATCTCAGGAGGAAGTGCTTTCCAGAGGGTGGGGGCCGCAACACTGAACGCCCTGTCACCCACAGTACGAAGGCGAGAGCGGGGGATGGAGAGCAGGCCCGTGTCGGAGGACCGCAGACTCCGAGAAGGGGTGTAGGGATGTAGGAGGTCTGTTAAGTACTGGGGGGCGAGGGTATGGAGGGACTTGTACGTGAGGAGGAGTGTTTTATAGTGAATCCGGGACTTGACCGGCAGCCAGTGGAGGTGGATGAGGGTGGGAGTGATATGTTGCCATGGCTTAGTGCGGGTGAGAAGCCTGGCGGCAGAGTTCTGGACATATTGGAGCCTGGCCAGGGTTTTGCTGGGAACCCCGGACAGGACTCCATTGCAGTAGTCCAGACGGGATGTGATGAAGGCGTGTATGAGTGTTTCTGCCACTGAGTCAGAGAGTGAGGGGCGGAGTCTGGCAATGTTTTTGAGATGGTAGAAGGCGGATTTGGTAATGGATTTGATATGCGCCTGGAAAGAGAGGGTGGAGTCCAGGATGACTCCCAGGTTGCGGACTTCAGTGGACGGGGAGATGGAGCAGCCGTCAATGGTGAGAAGCAGGTCACCAACCTTTTGGAGCTGCGCCTTGGGAGCCACAATGATGAGCTCAGTTTTGTCCTGTTTATTTTTAGCAGGTTTGATGACATCCAGTTTTTGATGTCCTGGAGGCAGTTGACAAGGGAAAGAGGTGGGAGCTGTGTGGACGGTTTGGTGCAGAAATAGAGCTGTGTGTCATCGGCATACGAGTGAAAGCTGAGACCATGTTGGTGGATGATTTGACCAAGTGGGAGCATGTAGATGGTGAATAGGAGGGGTCCAAGCACAGAGCCTTGTTCCAGATATTTGGAGCATAATAACTGAACGCTGCTTCTCCATGTTTAGTTCTGACTCTGGGGACAGAAAGCTGACCAGTCCCTGAAGACCTGAGAGATCTGGATGGTTCATAATTTAGCAATAGGTCAGAAATGTATTTTGGGCCTAAACCATTCAAAGCTTTATAAACCAGCAGCAGTATTTTGAAATCTATTCTTTGACACACAGGAAGCCAGTGTAAAGACTTCAGAACAGGAGTGATGTGATCCACTTTCTTAGTGTTAGTGAGGACTCGAGCAGCAGCGTTCTGAATCAGCTGAAGCTTTCTAATATATTTTTTAGTGAGACCTGTGAAGACACCATTGCAGTAGTCGAGTCTACTGAAGATAAAAGCATGGACAAGTTTTTCCAAATCCTGCTGTGACATTAGTCTTTTTATCCTAGATATGTTCTTTAGGTAATAGTAGGCAGATTTAGTAACTGTTTTAATGTGACTGTTGAAACTCAGGTCAGAGTCCATGACTACACCTAGATTTCTGGCTCTATCTGTTGTTTTGAACATTGCAGACTGAAGCTCAGCGCCAACTTTTATACGTTCTGCCTTGGCTCCAAAAACCATTACCTCAGTTTTATCTTTGTTTAATTGGAGAAAGTTCTGACACATCCAGTCATTGATTTGTTCAATGCACTTACTCAGTGTTTGAATTGGAGCATAGTCTCCTGGTGAAATTGTTACATAAATGTGTGTGTCATCCGCATAGCTATGGTAACTTATGTTGTTGTTCTTCATTATCTGAGCCAGAGGTAGCATGTAGACGTTAAAGAGAAGAGGCCCCAAGATGGAGCCTTGAGGAACCCCACATGTCATATTTGTCAACTCAGATGTGTATTTACCTATAGAAACAAAGTTGTTTCGGTCATTTAAGTAGGACTCAAACCAATTTAGAACTGTTTCCGAAAGTCCCACCCAGTTTTCCAGTCGGCCTAGTAATATGTTGTGGTCAACAGTGTCAAACGCAGCACTGAGATCTAATAATACTAACACTGAAGTTCTGCCACTGTCTGTGTTTAAGTGGATGTCATTGAAGACCTTTACAAGAGCAGTCTCAGTGCTGTGGTTTGGATGAAAGCCTGACTGGAACACATCGAAACAGTTATTTAAATGCAAGAAATTACTCAACTGTTGAAAAACAACTTTTTCAATGATTTTACCTAGAAATAGCAGGTTTGATATGGGCCTGTAATTGTTCATTACTGAAGCATCTAGATTATTCTTTTTTTAAGAGCGGTTTAATGACTGCAGTTTTCAGGGCCTGTGGAAAAATACCTGAGTGAAGAGATTTGTTTACTATATGAAGTAGATCTGAGGCCATGCAATGAAAAACATCTTTGAAAAATCCTGTTGGAATAATATCAAGGCAGCAGGAGGAGGATTTCAGAAGTTGAATAATGTCCTCTAGGTTTTTATCATTAATCTGATGGAATTGTGTCATGATGTCTGAATTGATATTAGGTGGACATAGTGACAACACATTTGCTGTACTTGATACAGAGGCACTGACTGCTTGTCTAATTTTCTGAATTTTGTCAGTGAAGAAGGAGGCAAAATCATTGCACGCCCTGGTGGATAGAAATTCAGATGCTACTGACACTGGGGGGTTAGTTAGTCTGTCGACGGTAGCAAACAAGGCACGTGCGTTGTTTTTGTTTTTGGTAATGATATCAGAGAAGAAAGACTGTCGTGCGTTTTTCAATTCCAAATTATAAAGGCCAAGTCTCTCTTTATAGATTTCAAAGTGAACCTGGAGATTTGTTTTTTGCCACCTGCGTTCAGCTTTTCGACATTCTCTTCTTTCTGTTTTTACGGTCATGGCCTTTCTCCATGGAGATATTTTTTTGCCAGACACTTCCTTTACCTTAGTTGGAGCAATGGCATCTATAATATTTTTAATTTTTTAATTAAAATGATCTACTAGCTCATTTACTGAGATGCTAGCAGGGGCAAGTGTGGAAGAAAAATTCTGAGTAAACATTTCCCTAGTATTTTCAGTTAAATATCGCTTTGTGGTTACCTCTTTCTGAACATTTTTGTGAACAGAAATAGAGCTCTCAAAGAAAACACAGGAATGGTCAGAGAGTGCAACATCAGTCACCACAACCTTAGAGATATTCAGACCCTTTGAGATAATTAAGTCCAGAGTGTGCCCCTTATTGTGCGTGGGGTCCGTCACATGCTGAGTCAGTCCATAGTTATCAAGAACACAAAACAGTTCTTTAGCCCCTCTGTCCTGGGGGTTGTCAACATGGATGTTAAAATCACCAACAATGACTAGACGGTCAAAGTCAATACACACTATAGACAGCAACTCGGTAAAATCATCAAAAAAGCTGCACTGTTATTTTGTTCAATCCAAGTTTCTGTTAAGAACATAAAATCGAGATTGTGCTCAGTGATAAAATCATTGATTAAAAATGTTTTTCCTGCCAAAGACCTGACATTTAATAAAGCTAGTTTAAGTTCGTTAAACACACTATCAGTCAGGTTTTTTGTAACAAGCTGTGGCTGACATGGAATCACTGCTAAATTTGATAAACTCACAAAAACATTTGAGCGCTTCCTGTATCTAAGATGATTCACTGCTCTTAATCTATTACCTATCAACACAGATATCGGCAAAGCTACTGGCAGGCAGGGCCCCGGCATGTCCTTGGAAAAGTTGAGAGTGCCATACGCCCTTGAGCCTGGACCCAGCAAATATCAGTTTGCAGCGTTTTGTACACACACATCCCTATCAGGCTTTGAAGGGGAGGGAGGACCCACCACCCTGCTCCTCTCATCATAGGAGGGCAGGGTGAGGGCTACACTGTAGGAAGGGGGGTTTGGAAATCTGCTTCTTCCTTGTATTGTTTTGGTTTGGATGATTGTGGTAGGCATAGTGATGAAGAGGGGGGAGATGGTGCGCGTCTTGTCTTCGGTGATTTTGGTGGGCGTCGTTGAGGGGCGGGGGTAAAGGACATGCTGCCAACCCTGCGTATCGCCTTCATGCGGTCATCGAACTCCAGGGGGGAGGGCGAGGGTGAAAGGGTGAGCGGAGAGTAGAGAGAGCTGGGGGATGCTAAGAAAGATAAGCAGTAACTAATGGTAAAGTTACCTAGTTCAATAACTTTTTATCATTTTAGTTGATAAAGGAGCTGCTCACAGGTATAACAATACCCAGCTAAGATGGTGGGCAGTTGGCCTGAGTTCTGACTGAACTGCTGTTATACAATATATCAATGAGTACAAGCAGTGGCGGCCGGTGGTCTTTTTTTTTGGTGGGGCTCTTGACGTACCGTAAGTGACCTACCCGGGGGGTCCGGGGGGTTTCCCCCCGGAATTTTTTTTCGAGAAATGACCCCTTAAATGATGACTTCTGGTGATGTTAGAGGGGGGGGGGAAAGGAGAAATCGAGGCTTAAAAATATGAGAAGACTGATCAATACCTCCATAATCTTCAGTGTGGAAAATATTATTTATCAACCTGAACATCTACTACTTTACCAGGAATTTGTGTTCTCAGAACTGGTCTGTTTTTTTCTTTCTTAAAACTGTTCATGTTTTATGAACCAACACCTTCACCAAGTAGCTTTACAGTGAACTGCATGTGAGATATAAAATTAATAGCATCTTTTCAGTAGCATTAATTATAAATATTTAAGTGGTTCAATACAAGTCACTACAGCATTTCAAACTGAACTGTGAATAAATGCAATTTAAAAAAAATAACCACAGCACAAAATGTCATAAATTGTGTTTTTTTCTTTGTTTCTCTGAGGATTATTTACAAACAGGCTTATTTACATATAGCAATAACTCAGAAATGAAAAAGCTACATCGTCTAACACGAACAACCAGTTAGCATAATGATAATATATGTGTTATGTACAATGTAACTGGCAAGGCTAGAGCAAGAAAGAACATAAAGTTTGCAAAAGGTTTAAATAACTTCAAGTATCTGTCTTCAGATTACGTGGAGGTTTTAGTCCGATGGGAAGCAGATTTTAAGCGACACCGAAGATAAACCAAAAATGTGGTGGAGCTGCAAACCGTGTAGTGTTGCTGGGACAGAACAGGAGCTATAACCGTTGGAAAATACATCACAGACAATGCAACAAACGTGGAGACAGAACAATCACTTCTGTGATAAATGCCCACTTATTAATAAACTTCTAACAACCATGGGAAACCTCCTCTCTACATATAAAGTGATATCCAAGCATGGGAAACAAAAGACAGCATTTACCTGTTTGCATCCAGCTAGCCAAGCCTTTCTTGTGTACCAGCTACTTGTGAAGCCTCGTGTATACATTTTGTCTTTTTCACGAGATTGCTGCGATATATTCAAATCGGGTTGGTCCGGTGCAAGGTCTTTAAGCAACAATTTATCTGCCAAACTTCTCCTTTCGAAAGGATTGGAGATTAGCTCTTGAACAGAATTAGGTGGGGACCGAGGTCCGGAGACTCCACCTGCACACGAAGCCATCCTCATCAACTACTGCGTCAACCGGATACGAGTCACTGTCCAAACTACTCACAGACTGCACTGGGCGCTGACATTGGCGCCCGGTGACCGTCATCTTTGACGACGCTGATTGGCTGAAATTATATTTTCGCGGCATAGTTTACACATTACAGATAGCAACAGTCAGCTGCTGGTGGCTGCTGCTGCACTGGTTGAAGGCTCCTCTCTTAGCGCCCAGACGAGAGAAGGTGCATGGGCAAGGCCAGGCAGGAAACATGTGACTTATCAGTAACTTTAGACATCGTAACACAATTTTAAACGAGATTTTATTGTAGATTATACATTTTACTGATACCAATTATATAATATTTACCTTGTTCATTAAAATAAAATAAAAATATATATATTTTTTTAAACATTTTTTTTTTTTTTAATTTTAATTTTAATTATTATTTATTTTTATTTTTTTCAATATGGGAAGAGGTGGGGCGGCGCCCCTAGCGCCCCTATGGACCGGCCGCCACTGAGTACAAGTATCTGATTTTGTGACTTTCGCTTCCACAGGTTGCCAGGATGCGATGGAATTTCCCCGGTAAGTGTAACTTTAGACGCACTGTTTTAGTACTGATAGGTCCTAATAAACAGAAAACTGCTTTGTCCCTGTTTTGGACGATTGCCTACAAATCCTACAGTATATACCTCACATTGATGGCAGTTTATAAAACATGTCACAGTAGAAAAAATATTTATTTTCATGCAGATATAAATTAATTATTGAAAGTGTGTTGTGTTATTGCCATGTTGTTATGACATCACTGTGATAACACAGAAACAGATAAAGGCTGAACTGTGAGCTTCCTAACATCTCTATTCACAATATGTTTTTTTCTATTTTACCGCGCCTATCAGCAGACAAGACTGTTGATATTTAACAATCCTGCAATGTACCAACATTTAGTTGAAACGTTTTTTAATGTTCTTTAAATGATGTATTTCTAATGGCACATGCAGCCATGGTACTGTCAGGGTTAGGGTTAGATGGTGGGTTTAAGAAAAACAACAAAAGAGTTCTCTCCAATCCCAGCTGTGTCGCATCATGTATTCTGAAAGCGGCATTCCCTTAACACCTTGAAGTTTGAGCAAAACCCATTACTTTAAGCTATCTTTACATAGAAAAAGGTTGTTTGCTGCTAATTTTCTGGATTACGTATATACACATTAAAGCAGTTTTCTACGAGCCTCCCTCAGTTTATTCTGACAGAATTCAAAACATAGTTAGCCCTATGATAGTGCCATGTTATTAGGAGTTGTTTTTTACCAATACCAACTGAAATAGTTCCTAATAGTCTACCAACATTCTTTATATATAGTGCACAGAAGTATAGGAACGAATCATTTGGGTAAGGCTTATCTTTCTAAAGCCTTCATTACCCCGGCCCTGACTATAGTGTACGCAACATTTTAAACTTTTTAAACGGTCTACACAGTAACGGTTGATGGTTATGAAATACCATTGTTAAAGGTCACATCAAGAGTATTTAGACTAGAGTATGGTTGTTGTTTGCACTAGTTGTCTTATATTTTTCTTCTTTCTAAATGTATGTAATTCGTTCTGTTTGCGTAACCTGCCATTTGAATTGTGTAATGGAATAATCCTTCAATCTTTTTCTGTAGCCTAGTAACTTCTTATATTTGTTAGCTGCGTCATCATTCATTGGCTCCTGCTACTGTATAAGCAATCACACTGCTTGTAGCTCCTGTGCTAAGTAGGTGCATAGAATAACTATTATAAACATAATCATGTCCTCTCTGGTGTTTAAAACAAGTATGACAGTTGGTCAAATATCATCATTTCACATCCGCCTGTGAGTGAAGTTCTAAAGTAATATCAGAATCAGAAACAGGTTTATTGCCAAGTAGGTTAACACATACGAGGAATTTGTATTGGTGTTTTAGGCGTATTGAATTCATGAATCTCAACTTTCCCTGCTGTGCTACACTGATTACTCACTGTCCATTTTCCATTCCTCCTCATATCAGTTTTACCTTCAATCCGAAGGAAGGGATTGATAATCCAGCTCTGGTCATCAGTGATGATCCTGGTGAGGTTTGAAAAACATTTCTTGACATACACAACCCTTAAAAACCCCTCCTAAAATCCCCCAGAGTTGATCTTTACTAACGATGTGTGCAGAGCCTGATCCGAGCCCGGTGCCCACACTCTGCCAGCTGAAGCGCCTGGAGGGGCAAAGCTTCGGCTTCTACCTGCGGACGGACAAGAGCAGCCGGAGCTTTGAGATCAGAGACGTGGACCCCTGGAGTCCTGCAGGGCATAGTGGCCTCAAGGATGGAGACCGAGTGCTGGAGGTCAACGAGGAATATGTGGACAACACGGACTTCTCCAGGGTTAGTGTCAAGAATTTGGTAGACAGTCCTCAGATATATTAAAGAGAGCAACCTATTGCAACATGGCCTGTACCTGTTCATATGAAATGTGAATATATATGGTTCTCATTTGTCTTGATGTTGAATGAGCAAAGTGATGTTTATAGCAATCCTTCATTTTGTGCTAAATTAAAGTAATTATTGTTTTAACAGTTTGATATTGTGGATTTGGATGGGGACTTCACATTCAGTTTCCTACAAGTATTGCAGATCGTCTATAATGTAAACAATATTCAGTTGAATTCTTTAAGTATTATAATGCCACACAAAAAATGGTAGATTGGTGCAGAAATCCGGAAATTAGTTTGCATTTTCGCACTTCTTGTGTAGGAAACATACTCAACAGATTTTATTTTCTGCAGTATTCCAATATCCAATTGAAAAACACCATTTACTATTTAGTTCAGAGTAAACAGATTGATCTAAAGGTTTTGGCCTGAATGTTTTCTTTTTTCTCTATCTTAACCTGAGATTAATCATTAAGACTTGAGAGGTCAAAGAAAAGCAGCGATTAGGATCTGCTTACATTCCCCTTCAGTTTCAATATCAATTATTCACAAAAGTTTGTGTTTGTGTAGTTTGGGATGGCGCTAATGTTTGAGAAACAGTCCTCATAGGCATTACGGATTAAGTGAGTGTATTATTACCCGGTTATTATTTGTATCCCTCTGACTTTCCTGACAGATTGTGAGGAAGATCCAGTCATGCGGCTTCCACCTGTTCCTCCTGGTGTTGAGGAGGGAAGAGTACGAACAGGTACTGTACGAGAACTACCATGAAACAAAAAACTCATTACTACCTTCCATAACACTTGGGGGTTAAAATAGGCTGATCTCGCAGCAGACAGACTGGTTTGTGGAGAAGTGTCTGCAGTGGCGTACAATGTGCAAAAGTGGTGGGGCACGAACAACTTAGATGTGGATATAAGCTTCTGGTGCTTTTTTAAACACGTAAACAAATAGCTGTAGGCTATCCATGGTTCCGATAGAGAGAGGGGGGGGGGGGTATAAGGAAAACACAGACACTCATCACCGAGGTCACAATATCAATCGATCCAGCAGAGCAATAGCCTATAGGCAAAACACAGAAGATCAACAAAAGATATGACATAAAATGAATTTACCAAAGCTGCAGTAGATGGTCAACTTCATTCATTTTCTTTCCGTTTTACTGGTTTTAATCGCTATACGCTGCTCTCTCTCGTCTCCTCTTCACAAACAACTACTATTTTCGCGGCACACGTACTTACAGCCAATCAGCTCTCTGAATTATGAGATGACGTTTGGTGTGATTATTTGTTTGCCGCACACATTGAATAGAAAAATACTCTGAGCATGCGCAGTGTAGTTTTTACAGCACCCATTCACTTTGACAGTGAGAGAGAAGGGCTAGATCGGGGCTAGATCGGGGCTTGACCTTGATTGATTGATTGATTGATTGAAAAGTTTATTAACAGCTTGTATATTGGGTACAGTACAGTACAGCTCAAAACATACAATTGTTAAGGGGATGCAGACCAGAGAAAGACTTTCGTCTTGTTTACATCAGGGTCCCCCATTTCCAATTCATCATATCATTTAAGACATATAAGACATATTTGACATACAGATGGCTTATTTACAATTTACATACAGGTGGTATTTTACATACAGATGGCTTATTTACAATTTTCATTTTAGATTTCGTTCTAATACATACTAACCGGACATTTAAGACATACCAAGTCTACAGATATACAGTTAGTAACAAAGTAACCTTTATATATACAGTCTATGGGCTTGACTCAAAACGGCTCAATAGGCACACTGTAGACACTAATTAGAAGAGCACAGACTAAAACAGCAATTTATAGACGAATCAGATGATTAAACATGATCTTAAAATATATTTTAAGATGTATTTTCTTTGCATTTATTTGCATTTTTTTGGAATTATTATTTGAATTACTTTCTGCTGACACTAGGTGGGGCTGTGCCCCTAATGACCAGTCGCCACTGAGTGTCCGGTGTCATTGGAAGAAAGGTGGCATGCTGTAGTTTGACCTTTACAGTCTATGAGTTTGACACACAACAAATACATTTGCCTGTGAGTGATCTTTGATGCTCAGTTGCACACTTGTTTTATATCATTGTCTTAGATGTATATATGTGTCTTATTCTTACAACTTACTTGCACCATTATGCATATTTCACAATTTAATGTATTCTTTTAATGTTGAGTATATTGTATGTTGCATTATTGGAAGAGCCTGAGACTTGAGATTTTCATTGCCAACAACATTGTGATGCATGTGACAAATACAGCCATTGAATCTTTAAAAATTGGTTACATAGTTCTTTGTATAGACATGCCTATTGGGTTTAAGTCCCCTTGCCCAAGGCAATCAAACCATTGACCCCTTGAGCCACAGCCACCCTTTTATTTATCTAGACTGTACAGTGATGTATTTCTCCATCTATTGAATCCTATTTATGTCTCTCCACAGGCGGTGTCTATGGGTGGGGACCTACAGATGCTGGCGAGGGCCTCTAAAGGGGAGCGCTGGTCCAGAACCAGACTGTGTCACATCAGCAGACACCCGGACTATGGCCTGGGAATGACCATCGTCTCAGTGGAAGGTACCCACACACTGCTGCTATTGTTTGATAGAGTGTTAATAACTCATTTACAGCTTTTCTGAAAGCAGTACTCTGAGCTTTAACTATTTCATAAGAAAGCTAATCAGCAAAAATGTCAGATTGATGATTCACTTCTTGCACTGATTGCTATGAGTCCACCCTTGCTCTATAGAATGGGTCCTAAAACCCTAAATGAGTTAGCATTAAAGCACTTCTGGGCTCCTTCTGCTCCACTTCTGAGTTTGCTAAAAAGTTTCTGAATGAGAACATTAAACGTTATCACGCTAAACACAAGTCATGTGACTGTCATGTAGATCGTATAGCATTACATCTATCTACTACTGGCAGTTGCATTTACATTTCAATTATTATACAAGTGGTGTAGATATGTGGATATTATCTTTCTGAACAAAAGGTCTTTAAGTATCAAACTTCTTTTAGCACAAGATCTTATTTCCCAAAATCCAATGGAAGAATTACATTGCTTTTTGTCAAGGGAGCCCTTGCAATGCAGACTTCCAGATCGACCTACAACACGTCATCCCTGCAATGCAGTTTAAAGCACCCTGTCCTGTGTATATATAAAGCCTGGTATATAAAGGGATTTGTGTTAAAGATGATACTGTGTTTAGTTACAAGCTGGAATGATGGATTCCTCACTCCCAGAGATGGGGTCGTTACTCAAAAGTAATATATTACATATAGAGTGGTGCAGTGACGTGTCCTAAAACCCGGAAGTAAGCTTCTTCCGAATCATAAATCTATCGATTAGATTTATGATTCGAAAATTATAAAAGTAGGGTAGACATGTGGAGATTATCCGACTGAACAAAACGTGATCCGTCTCTTAAATGTGTGTCAACCACAGACCTTATTTCCAGCTATTTTCCAAAATCCTATGGAGAAATTGCATTGGTTTTTTGTCGAGGGAACCGGAAGAAGCTTACTTCCGGGTTTTAGGACGCGTCACTGCACCACTCTATTACTTATTACTTTTTAAAAAAGTAATATATTACTTTACTTCGTTACTCTCTACATAAAGTAACTCGTTACTTTACTCGTTTCTTTACATTATTTTTGCGTTACTCAGCAACAGCCTATAGCCAAAACTTAAAACTTTGGCACATATAACAATTATATTGCAATAAGGAAGACATAACACAAGTCTTTCTTTTTATGCTCTTTAATAAAATAGGCTGCCACAAGCTAACAGTCGGTGAAAACCTAAAGAGCATTTCAAGAGAAAAATTGTATTTAGAACAAGTGGGCCATATCAATGTGACACTGGCAAAATAAACAAATACTTTACAAATAGCCTGTATAAAACAAAAATAAGAGGTTGGCCTTGATAAAACCACTATATACACAAATATTGATTGCCTAAAAAAAAAGGCCTATCAGCATTAAATAGCCTAAAGGCTAATGAAAACTCTGGATTCGGAGGTCCTTAGCTATTAGCTTCACGTTAGCATGTTGTCTTTGCAGGTGCTTGTGGAGGTTTGACGTTGTGTTTGCAGCAGTGGATTAAAGCTTCTGGCCTGGACACAGTTTGCACCTCACCGTCACATTCCTGTCCTTTCTTCGGACAAACTAAAAATAATGGGCATAACTCCACCCCTCGAAAGTTATCGCTGTTGATGATGATGACGACTCAGCGATGTTTATGCACTGCATGTGGACGCGCAAGTCGCGCAAATGTTACGTAAATATAAACCTGCGGCGGAAATCCCTCTTGTCTGTCAAAGGGAGAATCTAGTCATTCTTTATGTTAGTAGGCTAACTGTAGTGTGATTACTGAATTAATAACAGTAACGCGTGTCGGGCAATGTTAGTAACTGTAGTGTGATTACTAAATTTATAAAAGTAACGCGTTACATTACTCCGTTACCGAAAAATGTAACGCGTTACTGTAATAATATTACATTTTTCACGCGTTACACCCAACTCTGCTCACTCCATACCAATATTTCAGATTCATCCATCCACCCAAACACACATTTGCCGGGCACAGGTTTTGAACTCTACCAAACTTGATAACTGTGGTGACATTATGACAGAGGTGGGAAGTAACTAAGTAGATTTACTCAAGTACTGTACTTAAGTAAAATGTTGAGATACTTGTACTTTACTTGAGTATTTCCATGTTACTTGTACTTCTACCCGACTACAATTCAGAGGTAAATCTTGTACTTTACTCGACTACATTTATTTAATACCTTTAGTTACTTTACAGATGTGGATTAATGATGTGAAATATAATCAAGTCTTAAATCAGACTTTAGTTACACCTGGAGTAAATTCACAAGCTACCCTACAGTATACAAAGTCATTAAAACTAGCTGCACCTTTACCAGCTTTGAGAACACTTTCATGATCAATAATTATAAAACATATCATATGTATTATTCTGAAATGGACCAATCTGCACGACTACTTTTATTTTTGGTACTCTTATGGCGCATTTCCACTACAGCGCGGAGCTCGCTTTAAGCGTGCCGAGCCGTGCGGGGCCCGTTTTTGGTTGCGTTTCCACTTAGCATAGTACCGGGCGGCTAGCGGGTACTATTTCACAGTTTTTCTGGCCCCATAAAATCGAGGTTCTTTCCGGGCCAACAACCAGGCTGAGTCGGACTAGAGAGAGAATCGCTGGCAAGGGGGCTACAACTACAACAAGATGAACATATTTGACCATGATTTAATTGTAATACACGTTTCAAAATTATGCCGAAGTAACAACATACTGATACCGGTTAGTAAAAACCATGAATTAATGCTTTGACGAGTCTGCAGACAGACGGCAGGCGAAAAACCTTTTAAAATGCGTGTTGTCTAAATGGAGATCGGCTAAGCTAACGGTGTATATGCTCCGACCGTCCACACTCACAACAACGGCCTATACAGACATAAATAAACCAGCGACTGCACTCGCCATGACACAGACAGTCTGTGGTTTGTACTTGTTTAACTTTTGTCTAGTTTCAGAACAGATATGAGGAGCTGTGAGCTTGAGTGCTAACAGCTAACGGCTGATGTTGTTTTTCTGGGGTTCTCATTGAAGATGACGTCACGGCTCCGCCTACACTGCGTTACTATAGATACTACCCCAGTTCCTAAACTGTAATGGAAATGCGCCATAAAGTGAGCCAGTCCTAACAAGGCCTAACGAGGCCTAGCCATTAGGGGTGGGCGATACCACAAAATCTGGATTCGATCCGATACCAAGTATTTTAGGGCCAGTGTGTGTGTGTGTGTGTGTGTGTGTGTGTGTGTGTGTGTGTGTGTGTGTGTGTGTGTGTGTGTGTGTGTGTGTGTGTGAGCCTCGAGGAGAGGAGGACAGCAGTGGAGAGAGAAGAAAAGAGCGCATAATTGTGTTCGTCTGCACTCTGCACAGGGGGAAAAAAAGTATAAAAGTATCGATCCTCCCCACTCCCTCCCTCCTCTACCCACACATGCCCATATAGGCAAAAACAAACACAAATTGTTTAGTAACAATTAAAGGTCCCATGTCATGCTTGTCTGGTTATTACCCGTCCCCTTGTGTGTTATGAAGCTTTTTCTGCATGTAAACGGTCTGCAGAGTCACAAACCCTCAAAGTACACCCTGTAGCGAGTAAAACTCTAACACAGAAAAGGCCTGTCGATGCTGCTCCAGAATGCCTCGTTGGAGATTTTTCTTTTTCTTCCACGGGAGCGTTCAAGGACCTCAGTGGAAAATCGGCCCTTTCTGTGTCAGCCCCCCATGGGTCAAACTTCCTTTTATGGAGGGTTTGGCAGCGGAGTGGGCCACCAGAGAGTACCACAGCTTCATAGCTGCGGCTCCACAGCTGATTGCACATCCCCTAACGCAATGATATGGGGAATGGAAGCTCAGCTGTGTATTAACAGAGTGGATGGACAGGACGCTGAGACTGGGTTATTCACTGCAGTTTTGCAGCATCCCTCCTCCATTCAGGGGCATAAGAGAGGCAAATCTATCATCCCAAGAGGAGACAGGTTTCCTCTCGGCAGAGATTCAGGCCCTGTTGCAGAAACAGGCGGTATCTGTTGTGCACTCTCAAGACAGAGAGAAAGGGCACTATTCCCTGTACTTCCTGGTTCCCAAGAAGACAGGAGAATTCAGGCCCATTCTGGATCTTCGCAGCCTGAATCGGCACATTGCCTGCAAAAAGTTCCATATGTAAAACAGTTACTGGGACTGGTGCAGCCAGGCGATTGGTTCACAACCATCGACCTGAAGGACGCTTACTTTCATGTCGAAATTGCTCCAAAGCACAGAAAGTATTTGCGTTTCGCCTTCCAGGGGGTAGCCTACAAGTACAACAGACTGTCGTTCGGCTACTCCCTATCCCCACGTACGTTCTGCAAATGTGTGGCCACAGCTCTGCAGCCGCTGCGCGACCATGGCATGAGGGTGTTCTTTTATCTAGACCAGGGATGGGCAACTTGGATGGTGGTGGGGGCCACATCATTTATGTACTGGCCACCAGGGGGCCGCAGATTCACTTGGAACACACACAAAAAAATTCCATGTATTGTATGTAATTATTAAAGGTCCCATGTCATGCTTTTCCGGTTATTACCCGTCCCCTTGTGTGTTATGAAGGTTTTTATGCATGTAAACGGTCTGCAGAGTCAAAAACCCTCAAAATACACCCTGTAGCGAGTAAACTCTAACACACCTCCCCAAAACGCCTCGTTGGAGATTTCTCATTTTCCATTGTTTACTTCCTGGGTATCGTGACGTAGGGATGGCCAGTAGCCACGCCCAGAGCTATGACCGCACCCTCTGCAGCCTTTCACGTAACAAAGCTTCCCAAAACCTTTCAGGATTCATGCCGGATATGTACAGCGTAGGGCACTGAAGAACGATGCTGTTCCTACTTTGTTTGGACCAGCGGGAGTTCGGGTACACAACCTGTAAGTATTCATTGTTGTTTGTGTATTTATGATGTTTAAAACAAACAAGGTATCTACCACGACTGTTTAAATGGGTAAACGTT